AAGTCTCGAGTGTTGGGCCAGACTCATTTCGGACATCTCACACGAAGCGGAGGTCAATGGTAAGGCCACACCACAATGTCGTCAAGATCTCAGAATTTTGACTGGTTTATTCGATCCGTATAATATAGGAATGCGTGCTGATAATATTACAGATGAGTGATACAAGAGAAAACGGAGATGTCGATACAGGTGAACGAGCACAGGACTTAGACTTCCTGGCTGTTGCCATCCTTCTTGCCCTTTGCCGTCTTGCTGGGGAGCAGCTGGATAAATTGAAGGTGAGGACTTGGTGATGAGGGAAGCAAAGACAACGTACTTCTGGGTTAATGAATGGCACAACACCACCTTGGGAAATGACAACGTCCCCAAGTAGTTTGTTCAATCTATTCATTCAATAGGTTAGTTCATCGCTCAAGGCCTTCAATACATTGTAAACGTACTCTTCGTCATTTCGGATAGCCAACTGCAAGTGTCTTGGGACGATACGTTGCTTCTTGTTATCTCTCGCGGCGTTTCCAGCAAGTTCAAGAATCTCAGCGGCTAGGTACTCGAGGACTGCGGCGAGGTAAACTAAATTCCGTGTTAGTACACGCGCTTATGGCACTCGTGTCAAGAATAGCTCACCAGGTGCACCAGCACCAACACGCTGAGCGTAGTTGCCCTTCTTCAGAAGACGATGCACACGACCGACGGGGAATTGAAGGCCTGCTTTCGCAGAGCGGGATTGGGTCTTCGAGGAATCGCCACCAGCTTTGCCTCCAGAGGATTTGCCAGATTTTCCGCCCTTGCCAGACATTTTTGCTGAAATTTGTAGAGGGGTGGTTGGTTGAGTTGGGTAGTTGGGTAGTTGGGAGTGGCGAGGGTGGTGGTCGTATACAAGGATTCGGTGGGCGATTTTTGGGGAGACCCTCCGTATTTATAGTCCAAGTCGGAGTCAGGGTCCACGACGCGAAATAAAATTCATTGTTTGTTTATCAACAAAGTCACGTTTATCGCGTTAAAGTAAACAATGCCAAATTGACGCGCTTGTTTATAATCTTCACGTATCTTAGTCTCCGCCACCAACTCTCTCGACATCTCGCCATCACCATCACCAACACCTTTCCCTCACAAATCTAAGCAATGGCCCCCAAACCCGCCTCCACCGCCAGCAAGGCTCCTGCCACTGCCTCCAAGGCCCCCGCGAAGACCACCTCTGAGGGCGGCTCGAAGGCTGGCAAGAAGACTGCGAAGCCCGCCGCTTCAACGGGCGCTGATGGCGAAAAGAAGAAGAGAAAGAAGTCGAGAAAGGAGACCTACTCTTCCTACATCTACAAGGGTACGTCCGATGCCCTTTGCTGCTCCGAAACGGTATCCTGATCTCTTTCGTTTAGTGTTGAAGCAGGTTCACCCTGATACCGGTATCTCCAACAAGGCGATGGCTATTTTGAACAGCTTCGTCAACGACATCTTCGAGCGTATCGCTACTGAAGCATCCAGTACGATAATCCCCTATCTCGATACACTTGTCAGGGCTAATCCGCTGTTGCAGAACTCGCCGCTTACTCTAAGAAGTCAACCATCTCGTCGCGAGAGATCCAGACATCAGTACGCCTTATCCTGCCTGGTGAACTCGCCAAGCACGCCATTTCAGAAGGAACGAAGTCCGTTACGAAGGTTTGTACCCACGTCCTTCCCGTCACTTCACACACTCAATCCATTTCCAGTACTCCTCGGCGGGTGCCAAGTAAAGACTTCTCTCGTTTCTTGCTATTGTATTTTTGTGCATCATTTGTTGATAGTGTCGGTTCTCTTTATTCTATTTATTGTATTTTACTTCCAATATACACCTTTCTTAAGGCCTGGATCTTCGTGATGTGAATGAAGCTTTGACACTAAGGGATAATTTTTTGTGGATGAAGACGTATAGAATCTTGGTTTCTTTTGGTTTCTTTGTAGTACGGGAGTATTATTGCTGTTGCAATTATTTTCGTAAGGACATTCACTGCCAATGTACACCAGCGTTCCTCCCAGCTTCGACACAGTCACCAACGCTAACTCCTCCAACCCCAGCTCCAATCACTTCTAAGCGCCCTTTCCAAGGCCCTTCGCGCAGAACCCGTCGCAGCTCGCCCATTCTCTCCAAATGCCCGGGGGTGAACGTGGGTATGCAATCTTGATGATACTGGATTCGCGAATACAGGAGCTTCGGGAGCCTTACACCCCTTACATGAGATGCTAGATGGCTGAGCAGCGTAGACTCAGGGATATCCACATGCCCATACGGCCCACCCAGCATCATCGTAACCTTGATCGGGGCAGGCGAGGGTCTGTCCTGCTCCGCGAGTGAGCACGAGTCAAAGACCGTACCGAGAATGCCTGGATTTTCAGGGTTTTCGTAGCCCGCCTTGGAACGAGGGATTAAGTACCCAAACCCGTCGGGGTGGAAGCGGGATGACGAGGGGAATACGAAATTTGCCACCTTGACCGACGACGATGGGTTGGCGTCGAGGTGAGGCAGCGGGGACGATGCAAGGAGAGGTTGCAGTTGAGGAAGAGGCAATGCGGAAACAACATGGGTGGGCGTTATTCGTTCCCCTGTGGACATGGTAACCTAAACCCCCAAGTTAGAGCGCAACACAGGACTAAGTAACCGTGCAATTACCTCGACTGCATCACCCATTGATAGTCGTGACACTCCAGTTCCGAGGAGCATTCGAACATTGGGCTTAGAAGCTAAGTGCGCTTGCAGAGCATTCGTAATCGTCGAAAGCCCATCACGAAATGAATAGACGGATACCCCGTCCATTACCGACTTCATATCCCCCAGGTCATATCCATTCGTAGTCGTGGGTGACGACAAGAATGAGCCAGCAATCACTCTCCCGCGACCCCGCTTCTCAGCCTCGCACAGCGTCGGGAACGCAGCACGCACGCTCAGCTTCCTCGAATCAGCGGCGTAGATCCCATGGACGAGCGCGCTCCCGAGTGTCAGCGCGAAGTCCTCGCCGAAGTTTCTTGACAGGAACGAGTGCACGCTTTCGTCGGCTGCGCTCTCACTTGCAATGAAGGTGTCGCGAAGGCCTGCGCGCACGAACAGAGACCGTAGCGGCGAAGAGACGAGCGCCGCGACGCTGGAGGGGAGGGGTGTGAGGCCCTTCGTGCCGTATATGTACAGAAACCGTTTCCGCGCAGCAGCAGCGCTTCTGGGTGTTAAGACGAGCGAGTCCTTGAGACCGAGAAGGTGAATCTGGCCTTATATTGAGCTAGTCAAGTCGTGTAGTATGGGAACAACAAGTTATCCCACCAGCTCCAAAACTGAATCCGCATTCGGTCGCAACGTTCGCGGGCCTGACTCAAGCAGCACAGAGCATGGCTGGCCGCGTTCGTCCTTGACGTCTATGCGATCGCTTTGTGCCCAGCCACCGAGTTTATTGTGCTTTTCGATAATTGTGATGAGTGCGTTTGGGAACCGTCTCAATAGATGGAATGCTGCTGAAAGGCCAGAAAGGCCACCCCCGAGGATTGCTACATGGGCAGGCATGTATAACGTTGAAGGAACCCAGCCGGACAATGAAGGTGAGTGAAGTAGATGAGCCGAGGTGAGAACAACGTCGTGCGTTCCGTGTGATCTTCTCAAGGGGTTAGGAGATTTAGAACATGTAAGACGCGACAACGTTCTGTACAAATGCAAATGTAAAATATCTTCATCATGCACACTATCCTCGAGTATTATCTCTCTCTCTCAGAATATACTAAAGTCTTTCCGGCAACGATGGCGAATCGACTCCATCCCAATCTCTCGCTAACAGACAGCTCAGCGAAATGGTTGCGCACACCGCAGGGCATGGACGTATCATGAACACAATCCCATTCACCATATATCGACTGACCTAGCTTTGTACCGACACACTCCAATTGCCAAGCCCACGATGTGATTTGCAAGGTAATATGATGATGCATGCAATAGGTACATGAAAGTGGTAAGAACAGATCAATCGAAGAGACCGAAGCCCTAAGCACAGGAAGAAATCGCGCGTCGGTCAGTTTAATTATGCCAATCACAGGGGGAAAAGCTCTACATACCATGTCGTCGTCTGATTCTTCCTTCTCTTCCTCCTTCTTCTCTTCTTCTTTTGGTGCTTCAGCTGCGGCGGCACCGGCAGCAGCACCACCAGCGGGTGCAGCGGCAGGTGCACCTCCACCTGATCCAACGTTTGATAGGAGCTCCTTCACGTTCTTTCCCTCCAGAGCCTTAGCGAGCAAGGTTGCCCATATCGGCTCGACGTCAACGCCGGCAGCGCTGGTCAGAGCAGTGATTTTGTCAGACTGGATTTCGGGTGCCGTAGAACATTTGGAGATGGTGGATGTCACCAAAAGACGCGTCGAGGAATCAGAGGATTAGTATTAAGATCAGTTAATCGAATTAGATGAAGATATCGGGACGTACGGTGATTTCGACGTTGTCATCGGCAAGGATGAGGGCGGCGTATGTCGTGGCGAGTTCTGCGGAGGCCTACACCAGCAATTCACTCAGTAATCCATCCGAAGTAGTATTGCCCCGCCCGATGTCATCCAGAAGGCGAACTCAGCATCCACCGCATAGATAGTTCTCAATCGCTGTGCGACGGCTCCTGCGGGTTCGGCAGACGTATAGATGCGACTTACCATTGGAAATACCAGAGGGGGGCCAAGGATGTGTGTTTAGAGGCTACGGTGGTCGTTGCGGGTATCGACCGTAGATTTTGCATAGGCGGACTGCACGTGGGAATAGTTATGTAATATTTCCCAATGGAGTTTCCCTCCAAGTTTTCTGCCCCAAGGTCCTCAGCTGGCGCCATTACAACACGAAATCTTTGGTGAACAATGATACATCATGCACATGCACCAATGTTGAACTCGTAGGAAATGTATTGTCTTTTTTATGTCAGGAACGCATGCACAACAGTATGCTCAGGACCGAGACTTCATCTGAGGATGGCTTTTTGAGATGTTCAGCTGCTTGGAGGACCAGGCACCAAGCTTCTGTGGCTCAGTTGGCTAGAGCGTTGGTCTCATACTTAGTTATGATCACAGTCTTCTGTGAGCAATCCAAAGGTCGCAAGTTCGAGCCTTGCCAGGAGCAATCTTTTGCCACAATCCTTTTGATAAGTATCAGGCACATACTCATCGTCCGAATTTCATTGGGAAACACTAGGGAGATGCCGTGTGTCTACGAGACAAGACTATTGAGTGATTCGGACTCTGAGACCACTTTCTTCTGGTACAATGGAACCCTCGAAACTCAGTGAACGACGATACATAAGCGATTGCCATCTAGCGATCCTTCTTTTCAGAGACCAGTGCCCCGGAGAATGCTAGTAGTCATTCATTTGTTACGCGAGCGCTGTAGAATTCAGAAACAGGTCTACGTTCATGAATGGCGGCCAGATCTTATACGCTACATCTAGCGGCAAAAAGTGGCCCAAGAAACTGTCCGCCTCCAAGTCCCGTCGTAATTCCGCCGACTTGGTGCGTTGGAACAGTTGAAATCTCGCAAAGAGGACGACAAATCGCAAGAGCGATCAATATTGACTGCATTATTTAACATACACAGTAGTAACATCGACTATTTAGTTACGCCGTGAAATTTACGCCGTCCCTATTCCTGGTTGACCAGGGGTTGGTACGGCCGTCGGCACGGTAGTAGGTTGCAGGGCGGTGTTCCAAGTAGCGGTAGTTGGGTAGGCGGTCGTAGCAATGGGCAGCTCTGTGGTGCCGTAAATCGAGGTGGGGCCAGGAACTACACATATCATCAGCAACGCGTTGAAGTATACTGGGGATGCGATACATACCAGCGTAAGTGGAGAGCGATTGGTAGATGTTGATCAGGATGCCGGGGTCCGTGTTGCTGTAAGCACCAGGGAGGCTATACCCAGAGGGTACGGTTGAACCTGATCCACCGACGTTGATCTGGAAGCATGACATGTAGAACCTGAACGGTGGTCAACATTGGCTAGATTCTATCCGAGCAATAGAGGTTGCTTACTGGGCACCGTTAACGCCAGAAGCAGAGTGAAGTGCTGAGCGACCATCGTGTCAAGCAGTGGCGATGAGACTATTCGAAACGCGACTTACCAATCACTTCCGCCCGAAGAAGATAATTGCCAGGAGCAAGGCCAGATGGGACGGTGAAAGTATAGTGCCCACAGTTGTTCTAAGCTTTCGTAAGTAATGGAGAAACGTAGCGGATGGGCATCAGCCATCTACTCACGTTGAGGACCTCTGGAAGGGCGTGGTTATTAGAACAATATCGGAGAAATAAAATATGATTACTGACGAGAACCAAAGTATTGTGGATTATTTGAGACGAGACCCATTTGATGGACCTTGAACCAACTCGCGCTGGAGCCTACAGCAGTGCTGGCGTCGGCGACCTTGGCCATAGAAAGCTAGAAAGGGCGGGAAAGGTCAGAGATTAAGATACCTTTCGTATTAACCACATACGATAACGGGCCCAAAATGGTTTCCACCAATGGCCTCACTTCCACATGAGCGGTCGCCGGGTTGCTGATGCATCTCAACCGTTACACTGTCACCAGCTGTACAAGGGGAACTAGGTTGAGAGCTTCACGAAGATGAAGACACATACGTTGAACATCGCAGATACCAGCACTCGAGGCGGCGTTGGCATTGCACGCAATATCCTTTAACCACGATTAGCGACTGACAATGAGACGTTGACGAGCGAGAGCGCCATACGTTGTTAAGGACATCTGTCACGGGTGAGTTGGAAGCTGGGGTACGGACACACGATGATCCCGCATCAACACCGTTTATCCATAGTTGTTGGAAAGTAGCGTGCGCGGCAGCAGACGCAACAAGGCAAGCGACAGTTGCAAACGACTGAAGGAGCATCTTGATTTTTCAGGCGGGTGATATGATTGACCGACCGACGTCCTCCTGCTTTTTATACCTGATACTTCCCCAGCCCCGTTGCGAAGCAAACATCGAATGTCATACCCCCACGACAAAGTGCAGCTTTACTTCCGCATTTATTCCTCACCATAGCGGTGTTCTGAGCAAATTCTGCCGATTTCCACACTATCATCCAGGGCGGAGAAATCGAATGACCCCAGAGCGAGAGGACCCTAGGTGTTGATGGCCACAAGGTAGTCACCTAGAGATAGTATCAGCCTCTTAGAAGGCTCGAGTGGAGCTATGGAAAATAGTCTTGAATTTCGGAAAAATGACATTGGACTGTGGGCTCCATATGATCAACATCCGCGGGAATACTGCACCGGGATTGCCCCGCCTTCCACTGTCTGAGGGGGAGACGGGAAGAGCATGGCTAGTCTTGGTATATCTCCCTGGATTGGTACCAAGGTGTTAATGCCGCATGGTGCGGATGCAAGGAGGTTGGCCATGGTGAATGATCTAATTATTATCTGGCACTCGAGAGAGAGGCAACACATCAGTAAACTATCCATAGCAAAGTCGACGCTGGATCTGCACAAGGATACAACGTCGATGCTACTGACCTAAGAGGGGAGTTAAACCTAATCCCCTAGAAATATACCCTCCGAGAATCCTGGGTCATGTAGCTTTGCGGCTCCTCATGACCTTATTCCTAAGCGCTTTCTCCTTCAACTCATTCTCTCGCCTTTCAAGTTCTTCTTGGGTCTGAATGTAAACCTGCACAGATAATCTTGCATGATGTCACGAGTCAAGGATCCAGAACAAGCTAACTAACCGGACTATCAAGATCATCATCCCAATTACTCTTCTTCCGCTCGACTTCTGCCTGTCCTTTAATCTTCAATTCTCCCTTCGGAAACTTATCTACGTCCATCTGATCGTCCGGGCGCGGTTTCTTGGTGCCAGAGGATGCACTGCCCGCCGGGCTGGGACTGCGGCGCTGACGTTTGTTGCTCCTGCCAGCATCATCCCGTCTATGATCCCTGCTGACGCTTCGCCTGCGAGAATCGCCTCTTCTACGAGGCGGAGAGCGAGAGGGAGACGACATTGAAGGGGATCGACGCCGCCTACGTCTCGGAGGACTTGCACTTCTGCGTCTGTGCGGTGAAGCACTACGGCGCCTTGGTGGCCTCCGAGGAGGGGACCTAGACCTTGTTGGTGATCGCGATGGTGAACGGGCCGAAGATATACGGTGCTTTAGAGGCGGCGGGCTTGGACTATCACGTCCACGTCCTTTGCGGGGTGGTGGCGTCATTGAGACCGAACGACCTCTTGATCTGTTCGGAGGGGGAGGGGGAGAGCGGGAGTATGATCTCGAAGGCGAACGGCGGGGAGGTGAACGACGGCGAGGAGGAGGGGAACGAGAGCTCTGCACATCTCGAGAAAGCGATCGTCGCCTTGCTGGGGAGCGATATCTTCGGTTAGGACCTGGAGACCTCGACGGCGTCCTTGAGGGCGATCGTCGGCGAGGAGGAGAACGAGAAGAAAAGCGACGGCGCGGACGCTGAAGAATATACAGGAATTTAGCAAGTGCACTTGGTTTGAAGTATTAGACTTACCCCTTCTGGTGCTCCACCTCGCCCGCCCCAACCACTATCACGCGGTCTACCGTTCCCATTATCCTCGTAGCCACCTCTACCCCGACCCCGACCTCTACCACGCCCACGACCATCTCCCCGCCCACCACGGCCACCTCTACCATCCCGTATGTCATCCAATCGAGCTCGTCTATCCCTCTCGTCAATGGCCCTGACGTCGCCTTCTCTTGCTTTTCTCATTTCTTCCTTTTTTTCTTCCAAGAACGTACGAGGCACACCGCTCACTTCCTCTTGAGCCTCCAAAAGTAACTTCCACAACGCAAGCATAAACGCAGGGGTATCCTTCGTCAGAAATCCAGTTAAATTAATTTGCATTTTCTTGGGATCCGGAAACTAGGTCTGTTGTGAGTTATGTAGGACGAGGAGTGGGATGAAGAGACTCACAGACTGCTTCTGGTCTTCCAAAAGACCCATTGCATACTCTACAACTACCTCGTCTTCGAAACCAACTAGCTCTGTCACCTTTTTGGCCACCCATGGTCTGATAACTTCAAGGTTAACTTTTCGCATATCCACCTTGAACAAGAATGAGAAAGGCACGCTACCAGAAGTAGGCATTATTCATACCTTCTTGTCGAATTCTGCAGGGAACTTCATGCTTTTGAGCAGCTTGAGCTCCTTGTCGGAAAACCGTCTATCCTGTTCGGCAGATGTGCCTTTGAAGAAGCCTTGTACAAGTAAGCAAATAGGGAGATGTAAGCGCAATTGAAAGATACCATATCCCATGCCGAGTCTCACCAGCGTCTGCCATGTTTCTTGCTTGCTGAGAGGAGGTTGGTGGAAGAACAGTACAACTCCAACCGAGGTTCGTTTGATCGGTCCGTCAGAAGAATATCGCATAGCCGCCAAGCGCACTAAGCGCGGCGCCTAACCTGAAGCTCACGTGGTTTTGACCACGTCGGAGAGCTGCCCAGCCAGGGCGTTGACGTCCACGACTACACCACATCAACATCCTCCATTTCTGTCTCCTCCTCGCCTCAGTCCCCTTTATTATCAGTTCCCTACCTAACGGACAAACAGGACACGCCCACCTCACGACCAGCATCCCCCGATAATGGCCCCGTCCAAGAAAATGAATGGCGTTTCGTCGCCTATACTCTCAGAGTCAGAAGACGACCGACCGCGAGGGCCACTCAGCATCGTGGTACCTGCGTCTGAACGCGAGGTCATCAAGGTCAACAACGCCAATCTGACAGACCTGAAGAATGCGTGTGACGATGCGGTGAAGCGCGTACGTCGTGTGCCATTCATTCATCTTTCAGAGGGGCTCATTAACTCGGCTATGCGACGTGTAGTATCTTTCGCGACCTGATTTGTTCAAGCAAATACACCAGCATACGGACGTTCGGCTGGCATTTGGCTGGTCGAGTGTCTTCGTCGCTGCTGGCACGGCGCTGTACGGATATAAGGTTGAATTCGAGACATCAAAGCCTGTCGTGTGGGCTGGGTTGATACTGTGCGTATCACGTCTCTGTCGATACAGCGGACGGGACCTAACACGCTCGACAGATATATCATTCTCACCACCCTGCAAACATTGTACGCCTACTTCGTCGAAGGGGATATCGTA